GGCGCAGTTGGTTTGTCGTCGGTCTTCTGAGCCCAAGTCCCGAGTCTGCGGGTTCGATCCCCGTCCCAGACATCGGATCTTCGGGATGCAGAAAATCCTCAGCGGCGATGTCGTATGATTATGCGGCATGCAAAAGATCCTTAGAGTGTCTTATTGGCTCTTGGCATTTCCGGCAAAATTGAATTCCTAGTGCACTTTAGCATCCAAATAAAGTCTCGGTGCTGCCATCTAGTGTTGCAGAAACTAGATGTCCAAATTGACATGGCCCACAGTATGTCAAACATTGTGGAGGTCCTGAAAGAGTGGATTCCACTTCTGGAGAACGCACTAGGTCTGTTTATAATCAAGATATTTTCGTTTTTCATTTCCACATATAACGCCACTGACACTCGGCAAATCCATATCTTTCAATAATGCTAATCGCGCGAAAGAAAAACAAAAGGCATGCCAACTCACAAAAACGCAGGGGAAAAATTTATCAAGAGAAAAAGAAAAATTCATGAGCCCTCTAGTGCCATCTAGCAATGAAGATAAGCATCAAATAATGAATCTTTTTTTAACCTACACAGGGGAAATAGCGGGATCCGTATCGAAACAGGGGGGAAAAATTACTTCGCCTTCGACACAGCTCAAATCGCAAGAGCCGTACTCGGAGGGTTAAAAAATCTGTTTAATCACATCGGGATGGATTAGTTAACTGACAGAATACTTACTGCAGCAACTTCTGTTGCATACTGAACAGCTTCTATAAATACTTCATCCTTAAAAAGAAATATTTTAGTTTAATTTCGAAACGACAATATTTTTTTTAATAAAAATTTATAACAATGATTGGAAATCTCATTTTTCAAACATCAGCGTTTCTTAGACACTTAAAAAATTTTACTCTTCTAACTTGCTATAGAATAACCACCGCAGTCTGTTTATTGATTAATCATAAAGTTTATGGTAAAGAAAATTTTGAAACCGTGTACAACTAGTATGGTTAAAAAAGAAATATGAAAACAAAACAAACTGTACGGTTCTTCAACCATTTACAACTGGCATGGTTTGAAAACAGTAAAAAAAAACTTTTCTACTGGGCATTGGAGCTAGTCTTTTTGTTAGGTAATAGGCATTAAAGTTACGTTTTAGTTGAGTTGTGTTTTATCAAAAGAACCGTGGGATGTGATTTAATTCGTTTATTTGATTGTTTCATCTTATAGGAAATATAGGTCTATTCATATATGTATAGACTAATATCGGAAAATATTGGCAATTTGAAACTTAGGTGAACTAAGATTCGTGAATATTGGTCCGATAAGGACCCAAGTTATTTTGCCGCTAGGGCGGTTTGAGCTTGTCCTTCCGTCTTTTGTGGTGGTTAGAAGAAACGTAAGATTTCTTGAAATTTTTTGATAAATATTCTGACATTTTTTTTCTAACAAACGCTAATGAATGGAAAAATGGTTGTTGTTTTTTTGTGTTCACGATATTTTCTGCACAATTTGCATCAAATACCCAAATAATCTTCCCAAAACCAAGAGACTGAAATTTACATTACCATGCATTTGTTTCACTTCGAATGTATGACGATTTTTTTTTTACTATATGTTTATTTTTATGTCATTTTCGTGAAGAAATTCAGAAAGAACATCAAAGATTCTTTGAACCATTTAAAAAGTGGTAGGCTATCAGAAAATCCTTGATGACGAAAATTCTGAAGACAAGTGCCGCGATGCAGCTGAAATTATATGAGTGTTGCAAGAGAATAACAATAATATTTTTTTTAAAATTATCATCAGGAAGAAAAAACATGTACAGAGATATATTATTTTTTATATACTTTGCATTGTTATTGATATTTTCCCCATACTGTCTTTGATTCATTTTATATTATATATTTATTCTATGATTCTTTTAAAACATTTTTCCTTTAATCTATTAGAGCAAGGATTAGATCAATTTGTTTTATTTCACAAAAAATAAAAAAATCATAAAAAGAACGGTTAATAATTACCCTAGCAACAATTTTACCTTGCCCCCAGTTGCGTTAAAGATTGAATCAACCTGGATCCTGTAAGCTTATGCACTGAGGGACCAATATTGGGATGTCCAGACTCTTTAATATGGTTCCTATAATGGCCAATATACTGCCTAAATTGGTCAATATAGAGCTCACATTTTCTAAATAATGGATATAAAATATCGGGTGAATCTAATAATTTTATGTAGGACCGATAATGATTGTAAAGTGGCTGTAAAATATCGGGTGAATCTGATAATTTTATGTAGGACCGATAGTGATTGCAAAGTGGCTGCAAAATATTGGGTGAATCTGGTAATTTTATGTAGGACCGATAATGATTGGAAAGTGACTGTAAAATATCGGGTGAATCTGATAATTTTATGTAGGACCGATAACGATATAGTGATTGTATAGTGGCTGTAAAATATCGGGTGAATCTAATAATTTTATGTAGGACCGATAATGATTGGAAAGTGGCTGTAAAATATCGGGTGAATCTGATAATTTTATGTAGGACTGATAATGATTGGAAAGTGGCTGTAAAATATCGGGTGAATCTGATAATTTTATGTAGGACCGATAGTGATTGGAAAGTGGCTGTAAAATATCGGGTGAATCGTAAAATTCTATCTACTACCAATATGGGAAAAATAACGGCTCTTTGAACCCTAATTGAGCCAAGAGTCATGAATGTTGGCCCAAAGAGGGTTTAAGTCATTTTGATGTTATTGTAAAATATATTTAAATTATTTAATAAAGTTTTATGTAGGATTTAAAACAAATCATTGCGTAACTTTGTTACTTTTAAATCACCGTAATTTGAGTTTCCATTGCCAATTTTACAATTCGAGAAAAAATTTCGTGTTCATTTCAATTAGTTTAAGAGAGGGAATAATTTATAGACTTGATTATGAGCCTAAATAATTTATGTATTTATTTTGCTTCTTCGTAAGTAAAAATTCTAAAACAAAGAGGTGAAAGTTACCTTAACGGGGTATCTTTCGTCAGCAGGACAGTTTTTATATGAAAAACTAGCTCTAATTAAATTAATAATCCATTCTTCTCCCTTTGCACTCATTTTGAAATTTTAGTCTATTACTCCATTATTGTAAACAATAAAAGTAAATACATCATATATTGTAATTTTACGTGATTTGAAAAAAAAAATCTTCAAAAAGATTTGCTTGGATTATCTACACTTTCAGGATAATTGAAAAATCTTCGTCTCTGTGTACCAAATCAATTATAAATGATTAAAATGTTTGTGAAGCAATATTTTTAATTTTTTCCCGTGAAATTTCTATGCTGCAAAATTTCCTACAAAAAAGTTCAGATATCCTTCATCAGTTTTAACATTTAGTTCCTATTGCAACTCTGCAGCTTTTGTGCAAACTGATGTCAAAGCATTCAGTAAATTTTTTAAACTGCTTCAATAATGGGCATTCCCCGTCTATTTCATGAATTGTCATTGCTTACTCTTTTGTGCAATAGACCCGCTTTTTTCATTCATGGGGCATTGATCTTGAATTACTGCTTCTCTGTCTAACCTGGACCAGTGAAATATTTTAATGCTTTTTTTTTCTGGGAAATTTCCTACGACAAAATTTTCCGAAAATAAGTTCAGACATTTTTTATCAAATTTTATAATTTTTCCAATTCTTTCGACAAGCTTTTTTACACGCTGAAGAAATAACTTAGAGAAAAAATTTTTTGTCGTTTAAATTGCTTCAATAATAATTGTTGTTGTTCCTTTATCTATTTATATTATTTGAATTGATATTACTAAGTCGATTATGAAAGATACCTGTTTTTCTTCATCCATGGCGCACCAATCCTCAAATAATGTGTCATGGTCAGGCCAGGACCAGTCCATCGAGAAAAAATCTGCGAAATGCTTCATTGCGTTCTTTCCAGTCTTTAAAAAAAAAGAAAAATAAAGCTATTGTGAATTTTTACATTTTCAGTAACGGTACAGGGAACAAAAAGAAAAAATATCTTGGAATAACTATTATTTATCTGACCAATGCGACCGGATTTTCATGTACAGTGCACATAGAAGGAGAAAAAACAGACAAACCTGAATAATTTTTAATTTTATGATTGAAACTTTCACGTTCTTGGACTCAATCTTAATAGGTCAGAGCATCGACCTCAAGCATGCTAATTAATTAGTGTAGACGATATTTTATACGATGTAATCAGAATATCGGGATAGCCTGGTTGGTAGGGCATTGGGCTCATGTCCAAAAGGTCATGGGTTCGATCCTGCCGGCCGAAGACTCCCCGTGTAGTAAATGGTGACTGATGCACGTTAAATCTGTCGAGTCTTAAAGTTCTCCATGTTCCCATAACAAATCAAAGCTCTGGGGGTACTGGATTGGAGATTGATCATTCTCTGATTCAGATCAAAATTACGATCTGTGGATGAATGAATGGATGTATGAATGTGTCTGCCCTATAAATGGGCGTGACGTATGGAGGTGGCAGAAGTCGAATTCTTGGTCATAGAGGAGGCCACTGGAAAACAAGTACAATCGCACCTTCTCTGCCTTAGTGGCATACGTCAACAACAGCAAAAATCAGAAACTTAAACGTACTTCCTCTGTCAGATAAATATACCTTTCATTTGACAAACTCAGACTTTTTATCTCCAAAGTGTAGGAGGGTTGCTGCAATCTAGAAAATATGGTCCTCATAGTTTGGTCAGGGAAGCAGTCCGAACGTTTTACCCCTTAACTATAAGCTTACTTTTTGTGTATGTTGCTATAGTTCGAGAACAATAATAAAGATCGTTTATCCAGAGATAATTCAATACAAACGAATTCTACACCAGCATTGTGGTCTGTGTGAGTCAGCTGCTGATGTCGTATCGACCAGCCATTGCAGGGATTCGAACGCGGTTTACTCTATACCTTATTGGGATGCTAATGCTCTATCTTCTGAGCCACCACGACTCTTACAAAAATGTTTTTTATTTTATTATCATCGTTGAATAGTCGACCCAGTTCTTGGGTTCATGACTATTAATACTGAACTCCGTAGTTTTGTAAGTTTGAACCCAATCCAGAAGACAAAGGAACTCCTGGATCAAGAATTGGGAGAAGTTTGCCTTCGCGGAGGGCTTTTTAATGGAAGTAACCTGCATTTGAGTTAGATGGGGCGGAAAAGCCACGAAAACCACGTTTCTTACACTCATATTATGCAAATGTTGTGTTTTGATTGGATGTTAAATATGCTTGTATATATATAAGAAAAACCAAGATTGGAAGATAGTTTTAGATGACTGTATGGAGACACTTTAGTTGCCTCGTGTTATGGAGAGTAGATAACTCCCGAGGATTGTTTTCTCTTATAAAATTGTTTGATGCCTAAATTTAGGTATAATTTTTCTTCCTTAATAAAAATTCTAGCAAGTTCAAAGATGACTTTTTCATTATGCTTGCTTAGCATTTTTTACAACGCTCTCAACTATTCCAGCATAGTCATTACTGGCATTCGAACCCGGTTCAAAAGTTGGAAGGAGAATGCTCTATCCCCTGAATGGCTCTTTACAACGCAATAATGTTTAAAAAATAATTTATTTTCTTCAAATGTTTTAGGGATACTGCAAAAAACAAAATAATTAAACCATTTTTCCAACTGAACTATAATCGCCATATTTGTCAGATTATAACACTTTGGAGTTTACTGATGTATACGTTGTTTTTGAAAGAAAATTGTTTATATCGGCTATGGCGCGAGGCGTTTCTAAATGATTATGTTTACAATGGTATGTGCATTGGTATGTTACATTGCTTTTTCTCCCGTAGTCCCTCATTGTTTTTTGTCCCGCGGCTCCCAGCACCGAAGTCAAGCATCACTGGTTGCTGTCAGTGTGCGGGTGGGTGACCACTTGAATCAGTTTTCGTAGGGACCGAGGGTGTGCAGCATTGATCCTCGTTAAACTGTTCTACCGTAAAGTGAACGACTTCGCTTGCAGGTCGTCGGGCTACCTAAGTGAGGGTGCCATATCCCCTGCTCATGATCAAAATTGTTATGGCATGTCTTCGGATCCTCCTCAGGGATGTTTCTCAGACCGTCGCCAATAGCCCATTGCGCAGCTCTAGTGCGACGTAAATGAACAACTACTACTACTGCTACGTTACAATGGATTTTAGTTTCTCACGATTTATATGAACATTTAGCAAAGATTCACCAATTTATTGAGAATTTGATCATAAAATGCTTTATGTAATATATTTTAAATTTGCTTTGATCAGCATTGTACCACGAAATATAAAATCATACCTCTTCTGGTGTCAATATGGTGCATGAATCTATCTTATCATTTATATCTTGATCTGAAATAAAAATGTCTTCAGATTAAAAAAAAAATAAATAATACAAGTATCATTTTCAAAAATTAACCGGTTTTTATGATTTTATATGAAATAGAAAAATAAAAATGTTAAAAATATTTTGTTTACGAAATTCAAAACCTTCTGGTTATATTAAGCTTATTAAAAAATATAAGGACAGTATGGCTGAATGCGACACGATTTTATCAATTGTCATTTAGGTCTAACTTGGTTTTTATGGGATGCATTCGCTGAAAATAACTGGAGGAAGACAATTTCAGTTCTAAAGAAATTTTTCTTGTTGATAAAAGGGAATTACACACCTTTGGACAATAAAATTGTTAAACCAGAAGTGAATGCAAATAACTGAATGATATTTATTTCTCACATACCATTATAGTTGGAAGAACAAGTGATTAAATTCTCAGGATATTTTGGATGTATTGATCCTGAGGAATCAGTACTCAGAGTAGCTTCCCCTGGCAGCAATAACAGTAGTTATTCTCCTGGGCATCGAGTCGAACAGAGATTAGATAGCATGGACGGGTAAAGCATTCTATGCAGCTTCAACATTATGCCACAATGAATCAACCATATTGACTGACGAGTTGTGGAGTACTAATCGTTCTGAAACCATTGACCAGACGTTTTCAATAGGTGAGAGATCAGGAGAACGTGCTGGCCAGGGCAACAGGCGAACATGATCAGTGTCAAGGAAGGTCAGGGCAGTGCGAGCAGCATGGGGTCGTACATTGTCCTGCTGAAACGTAGCGTTATGGAAGCCTCGAAGATAAGGCAGAGCAACTGGCCCTAACACATCAGAAATGTAACGACTGCTGTTTGAAGTGCCGGCAATGCAAACAAAGTGTGATCGTGACGTGTATCCAATGGTACCCAATACCATTATTCCAGGTGATGGGCCAGTATAACGATGTCGAATATAAGCTGCCAATGGGCGTTCTACACGATGTCGCCAAACACGGATGCGGCTACATGCTGGATACAGATGCTGGATTCGTCTGAAAAGACGACGTCAAGCCAATCCTGCTTTCTGGTTAGTCGCTAATCACACCATTGGAGGCGCTCTTGTCTGTGATACAGCGTCAAGTATAGCTGAAACCATTGTCGCCGTGCTGACAGTCCATGTTGCTGCAAACGTTGTTGAACTTTTCGTGCAGACACTTATTGTCTTGCAATTGATCCCATTTGATGACGCAGGGTTCGTGACGCAGCTGTATAATCCCTTAAGGTCATGTAGATAACATGTCTGTCTTCTAGGCTGTTAGTGATGGAGGCACTGAGATCTTACACGGTGTTCTATATGACCGTCATGAACCCTTGGTAGGTCACAATTTGACCTCGATAACACTCAGATGTTCCCAGGACCTCGATGTCCATATATACAACGCATGTTTGTATCATAAGACAAAATTTAATGATTTTTAGTTCAAAATAAAATTTATGGAAAACCCGTGATCATTTTGAGCATACTTTCAAAAAGTATAAAAACTACAAAGAAAATTATTTGAAGTGTTTTTAATTTTCAAGATCTTCAAATCGGAATTTTTTTTTTTATTAGTTGCAAAACACGATTCATTACAAAGCAATGAAAAAAACATCTGCACATTTTTCCATGCATGCGCAGTATTAAAGATCTACTTTACCTTAAATACTCACATCTTTTGCTGTTTTTAACGAATTTTTTCCGAAATTTAAAACTACAATTTTGCAATTAATTTTAAATTGCTCCAACTATTTTGTTTAATTTTATTCAAGATTTTTTAAGTTATACCAAAAAAAAATGCAAGACATTGTTTTTATAAATAAAAATGTCTTGATTTTCATAAGTATTTAGACTAAGTTTATGAAACTTATTGCAGTTTATTGCAAATAACAACCAATCTAATCGACACTAGTTACACGCTTATTGCTTGATTTTCTGGCGTGAGGTGGTGGCGTTTAAGTTTTTTTTTCTCGTAACACGGGTTCCGCAAACCTATGAAAGCGATAAACCTTATTGATAATTATGAAAAAATTGCATCAATCTCTAAAATTGCAAAATAATTCTCGAGGAATTTCTTGAGAAATTTTTTTAAAAAATTTCAAAGACTGAAAGTGTCTCTTCTATCATCAAAGATGCTAACTTGCTCCGGACAGCGGATTAAAATTTTCTCGTGTTTTTTTATGTATGATTCCTGATTTATGAAAATCGATTTACAAGGTTTTAACTCACCACCACTTCTAAATAATTCTGAAACGCCAATTTGTTACAATTAAGCCGTGTTGACCCTTTGAAAAAGTTAGCAAAATGAACCGCCAGACTGCAAATTTTAGTTACCATTTTTAACAATATTTTTACGAATCCGGAGCAGTTGGTATCTCTGCGTTATTTTCGGGTAGTGTATATATATATTTTTTTCCAATGCCCACCTATCCTAGCATTTTTCGTCAATTCAGGCATTTACAGGGCAGATTTGTTGACTTCTCTTTCAGGGGGACCATATTAGATGGGCCAACGCAGCTCCCACAGTAAGGACAGATAGTACAGAGAAGGAAGGAGCATTCATGCTTTGCCCGGTATTCGAACCCAGAACCCTNCTCGCTTTGCTCGCTCATTGGATACGTTCTTAACGTCTAGCATTTGTATACTTTTTTTAACACTGAAGTTCCAAAAACTTTTAACTGTAGGAAATTCTAAACCTGTGCATTTCAATATTAATTTGAAATTGCAAACCGTTCGCATATTTTTCTTAATTGTACTGAACGCCGGATGTAAAGCATCGGCTTCGATGAAGATAATTAAAATCTTTTTGGTAATTGTGAGAATCTTTTTGGTAATTCGGTGAGAATTCACCCGATTAGACATATGATGCTCACTACGTGCTCTTGCGCCGAAGCCTATCAATTAAAACGTATTAGCATTTTATATAATATAGATTAGGCATATGATGCTCACTACGTGCTCTTGCGCGCCGAAGCCTATCAATTAAAAATGAAAACTGTTGCCAACGCGGGAAAAGAAATATCATCGGTTTTATTGATACATAAGTATTAGCGTTTGATATAATATAGAATCTTGATTTATGAAAATCGATTTACATGGTTTTAACTCACCACCACTTCTAAATAATTCTGAAACGCCAATTTGTTTCAATTAAGCTGTGTTGACCCCTTGAAAAAGTTAGCAAAATTAAACACCAGTCTGCAAATTTTAGTTACCATATTTAATAATATTTTTACGAATCCGGAGCAGTTGGTATCTCTGCGTTATTTTCGGGTAGTGTATATATATATTTTTTCCAATGCCCACCTATGTTAAAATTTTTCGTCAATTCAGGCATTTACAGGGCAGATTTGTTGACTTCTCTTTCAGGGGTACCATATTAGGTGGGCTAACGCAGCTCCCACAGTAAGGACAGATAGTACAGAGAAGGAAGCAACATTCATGCTTTGCCCGGGATTTGAACCCAGAACCTTTCTGATGCAAGGGCAGTTCTCTAACCCCTACATAGGCCGGTCAGCGGGTAGTGTATATTAAATGCTGGAAAAAAAAATTGATGGATTAACCATGCATATTTGGTGTTGAAAAACTCTTAAAATTGTTCCGCCAATTGTCTAACTGCTATTCATTTCAGTTATGTCAAGTCTAATTCAAATTCATATTGTTATTATTTCTGCTATGATTGTATATTTAATGAATAAATAAATTTTGTTTAAAGAAAGATGGCGCAAATGCATCCTAAGTTAAATTTCTAAGCATTCTAAGTTTAATATGGTATCGTAAAAATAATTTTACTGGCTCTTATGTTTATCATATCTTACAGTAATTATAAATTCTATGCTATGGCATGATAACAGAAATAGTGGCGGCTATTTTACACCAAGTAGTGTGAAAAATCATTGCTGCAACTTCTCTACACCAAACACTATGATTGCATCTTGATGTTGTGAAATCCTTAGTGGAACACTACTTTGTAATGTTGTACGGAATTATTTTACAGGTTAGAAGTTGATGGAACAAAATAGCTTAAAACAAATTTATTCGATATATTAAATTTATAAATATTTTCAGCATAAAGTAGTCAGTCAGTCTGAAGGAATTTAATTATCGACTATGTCTACCTTCATCTATTAAAAGGCTCCCCAAGATAGAATTGAGTTAACATGTGTTATATACTTGTGATTTGGTATAGGAAAAACAATTTCTTTCCTATTAACACGTTGAATGCCACGTTAATTCTACATAGCTTGCTCGTCTGGCCACACGGTAAATAACTACAAACTAAATTTGAAAATATAGACAGAATTTCCTAGTTTATAAAAGGTTTAGCATGACGTATCTGAAAAAAGTGTTGAATAAAAATCAACTAAATTGAATTTATTAAACCAAGAATCACAATAATTAAATAAATTTTGAATAAATTTTCTGCAATTCCATAAAAGAGGGTGAATTTTATAATTCTATATCATGTTATACGCTGTCAGCCAGCTGTTTTTTGCGGCCTATGTGAAAGGTCAGTGTCAGCAAGCGGTGGCAGACGTCAGTGTCAGTTGCAGCCTAAATGTAATTTCAGTGTCAGCCACCGGTGATTGACGCGGCCTAAATGTAATTTCAGTGTCAGCAACCGGTGGTTGGCGCGGCCTAAATATAAAGTCCAGTGTCAGCCACCGATGGCTGATGCGGCGCTCAACGTGTTAAAAAACAAAGACCAAAGAGGTTGGCGAACAGAGGGAGTAAAGTTTAAAACATCTTTGAGTTAAAGTTTTTCTTCTAACTGCTCAGAAAGAGTGGGTGACAGAAATATGTAATCGAAGGAAAATTAGGTAACATTCAAATCATTAGAAAATTTCTAGAAAAGTTTGAGAAAAATCAGTCTGCTATCAGTCTTCAACTCAGCTTTAAATATGAAAAAAATTAGACGGTTACGCATAGATTTAAAAATATTCTTACCCTTTGAAATGCACTTTATCCATCTCAAGCAAGGCTCAAAGTGCTCTCCTTTACCTGCATCAACTGGACCTGAAGTCATCTTAATACCACTCACAATATTTAAAACAGCAGCA